CCCGGCTCCAGAGGGCACAAAAAAAAACACCCTTGGGGCTAAGGCCCAGGGAGGCTGCCTCGGGCATCCGATACCACACTCCACGTGCGGACTTCTTCTTCGGGTGGTGCCTTGCCTCAGGAGGCTGCGGAAACCTTCCTGGACTGAGTGTGCCTGGCCTGGGGCGGGGGGGTGCGGGGGGGAAGAGGCATCCTCCATCCTCCATCCTTGTCCCAGGGGCAGGGTATAATGATGTGACTGGACTTGCTGCTCCTTCAAACTAGCTTCAGTGCAGTGGGATTCCCCCGAGGGTATGTATCGCCAGGAGCTTGGGCTGTTGGTTCCCTGATCTGGCCACGCTGCAGATCCACGCCCTCACCCCTTTTGTGCGCTTATTCCTGTGCCCTTGCTGGAACATCCTTCCCCTTGTCCGCCATGGACTCCTTGGCGGCCTTCAGAAATGTCAGAGGTGCCTGTCCTGGGAAGCATTCTAGGACACCTGCATGCTGACTTTGGCCCCCTTTCCTTAGCTCCCATATAATCAGGTACAAGCGCTCTTTATTGTGGCTCTTTTCAAATAGCATTTCTTGCTTATCCTCCACCAAACTCACCTGGCAACAACTGGACTTCCCTTGTCCATCTGCGCAACCCACTTCCCGCCCCAAATCCCCAGGCTGGTCCTGGAGCTATTCAAAAGGTCCTGCTGTCGCCGGATCCCCTTCCTTCCCTCCCTCTCTCCCTCCCCGCCATCCTCTCTGAAGTTTCCCTTCTTCCCACAGAGCCAGAGCACCTGCTTAGAAATGGCAGCAGCCTTCCTTGGCACGAAGCTCTGCGCAGCTTTCTCAGGCTGTGGGCTTGGCCAGGTCGGAGTCCTGGGCCCCGAGGAAGGGGCTGCTGGCATTGGCTCTGAATCTCTGCCCACACAGCCCGGCTTTAACAGCTGCCCTGCCAGGCCTGGAGGACATCCGGGGCTCTCCTGTGGCTGCCCGGCTGCCCCGCTGGGGCTGCCTTTGTCTCGTCCTTCTGCAATCTGGGCTCAGGCCCCGACTCGCAGTGTGGGGCTGTCCTTAGGGGTCTGGCCAGGTGCCAGGTACTGGGGAGAGGCCTGCCCTGCCCTTGGGATGCCCGTGTCCCCAGGGTGGAGACAGCTACAGCTGTGAAAAGAGACAAACCAGTGTGCCAAGGCCTTCAATGGAAGCCCCAGGCAGGAGGCCCCACTCCACCTGGTGAGCAGAAAGCTTCCCAGAAGAGCCAGCCGTGGGCTCACCAGCCTCCAATCCTCAGGAGCAAGGAATGCTGGGTGCTGTGGGGGCGGTTCAGATGCCACAATGTTGCTTCTCACCCTGGGCTCCGCAGGCTGAGTCTCCAGGCTTTTCTGAGTTCATATAATGAGTGGGGCTAACTTACTTTTTGCACATTTCCAGCCAAATAAAAGCTCTGAAACATTTTTATCAGCAAGGCTAACCTGCTTGAGGTCCTTGACAAGTAGACTTCTTGAAGCCTACAGCGGGCATATAGGGTTAGAGATGTGGTCAAGTCCAAGGCACCTGGTATCCGGGTTTTATCTTCAGCACTTCCAGCTCAGCGCTTTAACCCACCGCTGACTCATACTACAGCTCTTTTCATTCCTTGTTCTCTCCTCAGCTTTTACCGCTTCTCGGGTTAGAAAGACGGCTTCCCGAAATGCTTGCCACCCCTCAAATTTGAACGGCGCCTTTTTTGTCTGAAGGGAGGCTGGCTTCATGAGGGTCCAGTCAGACCTGGGTTCTCATCCTGCCTCTACCACTTCCTCATGGAACTCTGGGGCAAATTCTTAATTGCTCCATGCCTGTTTTCAGGTATAAAGTGGGCTTCGACAGGATTTCCCTCATGGGGTTGTGGGAATTAAATGGGAGACAGAAATTTCACTCATGTCCCGGACACCTTGGTCAAAGACCTGCCAGCCCATCAGATTCTCATCAAATGTTGGCTGAAAGTTTCAGCTGCTAATTAGATATAACATTTGAGAAATTTTTTCCTATGAGTTGATGGCCCCCTCCCAAAGGCTGGCCAATCCTAGTGTGAACTTTTGTGAAAGCAGACAGGATGCATCTGATGGTGTGGTGAGGAAAGGGAATACCATTACAGAGGTCAGAAAGGTTGGATTTGGATTTCTCACATCCAAGCTTCTGGAACACATCACCCGCGGAGGGGTTTATTGGTGGGGATGTTTGTGCTCAGACTCTGCCTGCATCTGCACCAAATGGAGACTCCACTAATGTTCCAGTTATCAGTGTCACCTGGGTAGAAGGTGTTTCCAGACACGTGAGACCCCAGAGGTGCCAAGGATCAAGGTTTATAGATCTGAACTGTGTCCTCTTGGACGGTGCAACATTATGGCAGTATGGCCTTCCCTTCCTACGAGTTTTAATTTTTGCCTCAGGTCTTGTATTTTCAGTGAGTTTTATGTAAGGTTTATAGCCAGTGGGGACCTTTTGAAAGACAGCAAATCACTCTTTTGCTGCAAAGCGGAGCCTCCAGTGGAGTCAAGTGCTGGTCGGTCCAGAACCCTCAGCCTTGTAGACGCCTGCCTTTTCCCCCCATCCACACGACACAGTCCGCGCTTCCTCGGGCTGGGGTGGGGGGCTGATTTGCTTTTATCAGCGAGCACACGTAACCATTTCTTCCTCCTAAATCCCTTCCTCCTCAGATATTAACTAGAACTCTCAAAATAAGCACTCACTCCTCCAGCAAGGCTGGTTATAGGTTGGTTTGCGTTAACCCTCCTTGCTGTTACATTTGGGGGGAGAAGTCAAACTGGGGACTCACGAAGCACTGATGTCCCAATTTCTGTGCTCGGCGCCGGGGGCATAGTAAGTAACTCTGCTTCTCATCAGCTGTGTGACCTTGAGAAATAACTTGTGTCCCAGGTTCCTCATCTGCGCATTTGGGATAGTATTAGATGAGGAAACTTCACTATTTCATACAGCCATTTTAAGTATCGTCTGCATTAGTACAGACGAAGTACCTAGAACAGTGCCAGGCACACAGAAGGTGTTCGGTTAATAGGAGTGAGGAGGATGATGATAAATGGAATGATGAAGGTCCGTGTCCTCAAGGAGCTTATGTAGCCTCGTCACCTTGTCCCACACAGAACTGAAGGCAGGTTCTTTCAATTGCCAACCGGGATGGCTGATATTCTTGTTGGCCAACACTTCGGTGAGGGGGGAATAAGACTCAGGTCGGGTTTCTCTGCTCCCCACACACTCCTCGTCCCAACTGAAACTGTGCTGTATGGTATTTTGAATACATAGTGTGGTTATTTTGGGGTTTATATTCATGTGACTTGCCCAGCCAAAGAAAGCCCAATTTATAATTCAGATCTTCTAACAGCCACACACTTTCCTCACCCCAGGCGTACGCGTATGTCCGTGTTTATTAGTAGGGGCAGAAGGAGGGCGTTGTGTGTAGGTATGAAAGGAAACAAAAACAAAGACAAAAACCAACAGAACTTAAACAACAAAACAACAGCCCAAGACAAAAGTCATGGTTTCTCCATTTCTCTTTTAATACTGAACAGTATTCTTTGTACACCTATAACATGATTTCAAGAGCAGAAGTAAGAAACATTACTAATAGACTTCAGGGTGTAAAAATACCACTTTGAAAGACGGCTAGTTGAGATCTTTCTTACACAAGTATTTTTAAAAAGTTTTCAAGTTTATAGTGTCATCAGTTTGTTTAATGTCAGGATTACACAAAGCTGTGGAAGAGGTTTTATTATGCAGGGATGGTTTACTGTAGCCTAAATTCCACGATGCAGTAGCAGTGATTCTGAAACTAAACTGGGCGTCAGAACGCCCTTGGAGGGCTTGTGAACACCCCAGAGTTTGTGATTCAGCAGAGCCGAGGGGAGCGCCGAGAACCTGCATTTCTAGCAAGCTCTGGGGCGATGCCGCCGAGGCTGGGCCCACACCACACTTGGAAACCCGGCCTGTAGAAAAAGAACGCATCTACCTGTGGCGAGGGGCGTAAACTGGCACCAGGACCACCGGGCTCTTCTCATGAGGACTGGGGAGTGGGGGGGCCATCTGGAAATCACCCAGGCATTTGCAATTCTAATCTTTGATCTCACTTCTTTAGTTTGTACCTTCTAGTTATTTAAAAATGAAACGCTGTAGGTTATTTATCCTTCGAAGAAAAATACAATGGTTTAATCTTGCTGAGTGCTGCCAGATATTATACATTTGCCTTTTCCATTACACTGATTTCTGATTACAAATGAGCCAGTGAAAGCGTATTTTTCCACTTACAAAAAAATGAATCCACAATCATTTACAGCTTGCTGTCTTTGGCCCTTTCCTGGTTTCCAGGCCGCCCTTACCCAGGGCGTTCTCCCAGCCTGGGTCGAGCTAGGACGGAACCACATCCAGCTTACAAACAAGTTCCAGTCACTCATTCTAATGGGGGACACCTGGCTGGCCTCTCCCCGCCCTGCACAGGTACTTTCTTTTCCTGAGGACTAGGACATCTGCCTCTCCCAGAGCGCACTTTACCCACAGGGCTGCGATTCCCGTTCGGGAGCAGGGTCTCAGCTAAAGCCCACTTTGTGCAGAGCAGAAAGAACAACGGTGAACGTGGTCTCGGCCCAGGGCTGGCAGAAAGCCCAGCTCATGCAGAGTGCCCGGCTGACACGCGGCTACACCACAAGGCCCGAGAGCTTTGCTTAGCGAACAGTGATGCCGGGGGGTCTTATTTCTATCACCCCCTGGATAATCGAGTGGCTTCTGGGTTCAAGAACTCATAACCTTAAAAAAAAAAAAAAAAGGGATAAAATATACTTTCTCACAGGTCCACGCCAAGCAGCTGGGAAGGTGACTGGGACAAATCACCCTCTCAGCACAGTTCCCATCTACACAGCCTTGGGGAAGGGCATTTCTGGACAAAGGTAACATGGGAAGGAAAACAGCACCAACACATTAGCTTATGTCGCAGGGAAACCAAGTTCTTTTTCTTCCTTCCCCGCCCCGCCACACACCTGTTCTCTGCAGAGACCAGAACATCATGAAGAAGTGCCGCCTAAAGGTAGATGGCAGGACCATGGCAAGACCCCCCGGGAGGTCTTTCAGGGCTTCAGTGTTCGTCCAAAAGCAAAAAACACCAAATGGCTGGGGTGAGGGGTGCACACGACAGGTCACTACCAGCCTACCTTGTTACGTCGCCGAGGTCGCTTGTCCCTGGGGCCAAGTCCAGCATGCAGCGCCGCAAATGCCCCCCGTGTCTGTTGGAGGAGCTAAGCTGGGGGCTCCAAGGCCTTCTGAGGGCACCGTCGGGGCTGCTGACCCCAGGGGCCAGCGAGCCTGGGGTTTCAGCCCCGCCGTGAGTGACCCGGCACTGGGCCTCAAGAGCCGGAGCCTCGGAGGTTCTCTGCGCTGCTCTTCTCATCTGACGGCTGTTCTCCTTGGAATTCTCTTGATTTTCTGGCCCCGACAGCCGACAGCAGCTTCGCAGTGAGCATCACAGCAAGAGGCCCACGGCGAGGCTGGTGTCCCCGCTTCCATAACGGCCTGGCGCGGGCCTTGCAAGAGTAAGACCTCCTCACTGGAAGTGCAAGCATGTCTGTGAGGGCCGGGAGCCGGGTAAGGACAGCTGGACAGGCCAGCCCGGGGCCGCAGCTGCCCTCTGCTCAGCAGCAGAGGCCCCGGGAGAAGCCCGCCGCTGCGCTCACTGGGCGCCATCCTCCTGCAGGGACTGGACGGGACGGCGCCGTGGGCCGCAGGGGCTGGAAGTCTGCGAGCCCTCTGGTTTCCCCTCTCTGCTCTTGATGGAGAAAGAACGTGCTTTTCAAAAGCGTTCTTCTGAAAAAATAGGAAAGACATGGCAGCGAGAGGAACACAAAGGGAGGTAGTGCATGCCGTGTTTTACAACTTGCGCTTCTCGGCCGGCCCACCGCTGTTCTGCTTCCAAGTTCATCCTGCAGCACGAGGCGAAGCCAAGCAGTCCGAGCCCACTGAGCTGAAAAGCAGCTCCTCTATGTAATTCAGTTCCTAGATCTTCAAATGCTGTGAATTCTCTAGAAAGGTAACGGTCTCACTTTATAGCCAGGGAAATTACCAAAAGAAAGATCTTGGCTCTGCCACCTTCACTTACAGAAGGTAAAACACTTCACAGAGACAGATTTCTGTTGGAGTTAGACTAGATTTCTCTTCACAGCCCTGAATCTCACGAGGTGAGAAGGAGTGGGAGTTGCCAAGTGGTTGGCTACCAGACCCATCAGTCTGTTTAACTCTGGCTAAAAGCAGAGAATAATGGGCAAGCCACCAAGTTTCTCCCCCTTCGGCTCTGGCGTGAAGATCCTCGTGTAACACACGCTGCGACTTCCAATTGCCACCCAGCAGCGGGCACCCACAGAGCGCTGGGAGCGCGCAGTCCGCACAAAGGCAAGATGAAAAATTAGGACTAAAAACTAAAGGTATTTCAGTTTTCCAGCTGGATCCCCACTCTGGCAAACTCTCTCAATGGTTCATTCCCCCCAACCTATCCCCCAAATCAGCTGATTAGAAAAACGTTTTTCCAATAAACCGATAAACGTAAGCTGAGCTCTCTTGTATCCATCATATTATGCCAGTTCCTTAGAAATGATATGTGTCGAGGAGCGGAGGCTGCAGGAAAAAGCCCACACGCTACAGGATGTGCCTCTAAGCAGTGCAGAGGGTCACCAGGGTCTGCTTCTCTCCCCATTCTACGGGCAGGGGGGCCACGTAGGTGCCCCCGAAAGCCCGGCAGTGTTAGGATCGCTGATGAGGAAACACTTATCCTCAAAAATCAACCTAAGCCCCTGGCTTGTTCCCTCGGACTGCCCTGGTTTGCACTCTGAGCGGAGACGTCTACAGTGATGCCCAGTTCGGGCACAACAGGGTCAGACCAGGATCAGGCTGGCGGGGCCCAGGCTCTGCTTGGGGCAGAGCTGGCGCGGGCAATTACCGGACAATTACGGTAAGAGGCTGCCCTGTTAAAGAGCAGTTCCTTTGAGGTGCAGAGACAGGGGCGCCCGCGGAGAGAATGCGGGCAGTGCTTGTATTTTAAAGTAAACTTTCTCCTCCTAAATAATTCCCTAGTCAGCCTCAGCGGGAGTCTGGTCTACAATAGCCACTATTTAGCAAACACTTGAAATTAAGTGAGGTCATCATGCCGAGTCTAAATCTATCCAGACATTTAGTAATTAAGTCTCCGGGTCACAACACTTGGCCCGCCCCTCCCCGCTCCCCCCCACCCCCCCGACCTCAGGGAAGCAGCTTACTCATTAATGACCAGGCATGTTCCCAACAAGCCCCACGGACACACATGACAGTTAGTTGTGTGGGGCACAGTAAACCTGGTCATAGCAGGAGAAGAGCATGGCTTTTAAATGGCATGATCATATAGGTCATTAGGCTGCCGGCTGCCTCTGCTAATGCGGATTGTGGATTACAGTACTGAGACAAGGTCCCCATTTATGGTGAACAAAGACCGGTACGTTTTAATGCAAATCTAAGGACCATCCCTGTTCTAAGTTTAGAGAAGACTATTTGAATGAGTCTCAAAACTTGTAAAACAAATAATCTAGTACCCTACGTCTGAAGCCCTTTGTAGTTATCTTTTTTTTTTGCTAATTTGAAAAAAATAACTTATTTATATATCAAATAGAGTTGAATGTAAACATGGATGTCAACCACCCTTTTAGTTTTATAAATCTGCTTTTAGCTTTCATTAAGAGGCAGATTTCCTTACCTACCATGATCCTAACCATGAGAAAATACCCTTCTTTAAAAAATTGTTACAAATATTTATTAAAAAGTGCAATTCATAAGTCAGCTGGGCAAGTACATCATTGTAAATCACAAAAAAGGGGGGGGAGGAAGCCCAAAGCAAATAAACAAACAAAAAACCCCAAGAAATACAGACAAAACATGAAAAAAAGGAAAAAAAAAAAAAAAGAGTGCGCTGTGGAATGGGCCCCAACAGATGAGGAAACAGGAAGTCAAAGCTAGAGCTCTATCCAGACGTTGCTGTGCTTTCCAAGTGCAGAAGGTGGAGGGGGAGAGCGTGGCCCCTGCCGCAGGGCTCCGGGTCAGCTGCTGCTTCCATATCGGTGACGGCATCGGGGAGGTTATAAAAATATCCTACAGACGCCGGGACGCTGGAGGCGTTTAAAAAATCATCGGAAGCTTGAAGTTTAGCATCTCAGCAGTTTCAGCTACTAAAACTCAATTAAAGCATCCGTTCTTTAAATTTGGATTGGCTCAGTTATTTGGCTGGATGATAAAAAAACTGAGTTGTCATCTTAGGGGAAAAAAAAAAAACCCCACCCAAGTTCACCTACCCATTCTTGCCATTACTCACAGGGTAAGAAAAGTCCGGTCCAGAACTAGCCTTTTTGGTCATTATGGTTTCTGAGTGTCGCCGTACTCCCAATGTACTAACCGCCCCCCCCACCCCCAATGCAGAGTGCCACGGGAATGACCTAACCGGCCAGGAGGCTGGCCCCGGATCCAGACCATCCAAGTGTGCGGCTGAGCTGCGCCATACGGGTAAGGGGCGTCCTCAAAATACAAGGTGCACCAGGACAGCAACATGAATTTGGCAAGGCACTGACCTCCGGCAACCTCACCCACTCTTCCCTCAGCTGTGCAAACCCTGGGTCCTGCTGCCCTCTCCTCCCTTCGGTTCAAGCCAGCAGCTGTTAGCACCCCCAAAGCCTAGTGCTTTCCATTATTTTCCATTAGTTATTTCTACCACAGAATAATGAGCCTGGAAAAGCAATTTCATCCCAGCACTTATCCCTGAAAAATGGATCAATGCGTTTTTTGTCACAAACTGCTTCTGGGCCTAGCGTCCCCATCAGCAGCCAGCTCTCGGGGGGCCAAGGGCCGCTGCCGCGATGGGAAATGAGACCTGCCCGGGAGCCTGCACTCCCGATGGTGCTCTCGGGGATGGGACAGCGGTGTGCTGTCCAAGCTGGGGGGGGGAGGCGGGGGGAGCTGCCAAAGATGGATGGAATGAGCAAAAGCAAGCGCTAGTGGAGTCTGCGAACTTTTCCGGATTCCTCAGAGGCTGTCCTGGGGGCCCAAGGGCCCGGAGGCAAAGCAGTGCCGAGCCGTCCTCGGAACAGGACAGGCGGCCCCAGGAGCGCACAGTCGTCGCTTGCTCTTCCCAGCGGCCCTGCCAGCGCCGGGTCAGAGCAGCTGTCTCAGTGGTGGGGTCACAAGGAGGGAAGTCAGTGCAGGCTGTGTTTTCCAGAGAGGAGTGTAAAGAGACGGCAACGCTGGGGTGCTGCTTCCCGCCTCCCCTGGGGCTCGCGAGCAGGAGGAGCCGTGCCGGGCCGCCGTCACAGCACTAAGAAGAAGACCAGCACGACCAGCAGGACCACAAAGAGGACGGCGATGGCACACCACTGGCGCCGATCTGCAAGGCAGGACACAAGCATCAGCGCTCGTGACTCCACGCTCCCCAAGGTGCGACAGTCCCGTGCACGCCCTGAAGCGGAGAGGGGACAGAAGTGCACACGACGGGCCCACAGGGGCTCTGGGGCCTGCCCGGGGGTTGGGTATGCTGGCCTGCTCCGCGTGTGCATCCACAGCTCTGCCAGGTGCCTGAAAATGGGCCTCTAGTAAGTACGTGCTTTGTGTCGCAAGCCTTTAATTACAATCTGCGGCGCTCAGCTTGCTGCTGGTGGGCACCATGTCCCTGGGAAGGTGTTGGCATCGGCGTTACGGATCAAAGCCCGTCTGCTTTCATCTCCTACCGAAGTCAAATCATTTCATTCAACAACACTCAGCACTATGGGGGGATGGAAAGAGGATAAAAGCGCCTGCTGGTCACTTCAGGAAACGAGGAGCTGAAAAAGCAAGCTCTGGGGATCAAGAGCATGATCAACATTACCCCACACCTGTCAGGAAAGAAGTGAGATCACTTAACCAGTAACTTACACAGCTTACCCGTAAAGGAAAGTGGAATGTCTTCTCTGAAACCCTCTGCCCTACCGACACTTGAGGACAAGCACCAGAAGCAAAGTGGTTAGAGTCCATCTAAACGGCCGAGAGCAAGGGGGCTCGAGGGGCAGGAGGGCACACACAGGCCCCAGGGGAGCCCCCGCTGCACCCACAACCCTGACTGCGGGTTCGTCACGCTGCACAGAGGCTGCCTGGCAGGGCTTTGTGAGCGTGAACACGAATACCCTCGCACACTCTGGGCTGGGCCAGGCTGGGCATGGGGCCTAGGATGCCTCCTTAACTTGTGCAGGTGTAGAAAGAACACGCGGTCTTTCCGTAGACGAGTCCTGCATTTTCCACATAGGGTCACACTGATAGAACAGAATTTCACTGGCCTACGAAAACGTAGTTCAATGGCTAGAAATGATCACTCCATTTAAACAGAAATATAAAGGTTTACTGATTCATCAAAAGTTTATTGGAAAGGGGCACCTGGGTGGCTCAGTCGGTTAAGCGTCTGCCTTCGGCTCAGGTCATGATTCCAGGGCCCTGGGATCGAGCCCCACATCGGGCTCCTGGCTCAGCGAGGAGCCTGCTTCTCCCTCTCCCTCTGCCTCTCTCCCTGCTCATGCTTTCTCTCTCTCTCTCTCTCTGTATCTCTGTGTCTCAAATGAATAAATAAAATCTTAAAAAAAAAAAGTTTATTGGAAAGCCTGCAGACTGTGGCACACCACAGCGATCGAGACTCACACTACATAAAGGTTTGAATCTAGGAAAAGAGACTGCCAAACTGTCTACAAAGCAATGCTAAGTCCACGAACCAAGGACTTAAATTATTTAAATGCCATGGAGAGCACAATCTTAGAACCGGGCGACAGCCACCAACCGACAGTACACAAAGCAAGTACCTTCTTAGTGGTGATCACCTTGTTCTACTTCTGACGTGCTAGAAACTCACTTAGTGTGATTAGGGCAAAGACCCCAAATCTGTCGGTTCCTTATCTGAACAGGAACTAGTCCAATGGGCATGGGAGGCAGAAATCAACCTATCAGATAATAATCTGTTTATCGCTTCACTGGCCAAGAAAACTTGAGGATCCAGCATTTTTCATCTATTTAAAAATGTTTATGATAATTTAAAAACACTCTCATTAAAATGATTAATCAATATTCTTCCAGGACAAAACAGTCAAGGTAATTGCTTCCTAACCACCCCCACCCCCCAACCTCATACAGATCCCTGCCCCTCCCCCCATCCTGCCTTTCTCAAACCCGGATTCCCAATATTGAACCGGTTTTCTACTTTTTGGCTTTCCACCAGCCTCACCCAATCCCCTCCCACCTCCAATCACTTCCTCTTCCCCAACTGCATTAAACAGGGGGTTTTCATCGAGAAGTTGGGTCACACAAGCCAGCACAACCCAGGACCGCTCTTTGAAAGCCATCTTCCTCTGCAGGGCTAAGCTGCTGCTTCGAAGCAGGACCCAGGTAAGCTCTGGGAGCTGTTACCCCAGCTGACTTCTCCCCAGAAGGGGGGAGTACTAACCACGAAGGCTTCTGTGCTCTCAAGTGAAAAGCCTAACCAGCTCGGCAAGGTCAAGACCTGTTTCAAAAAGTCAGATAGGAACAAAGAGAACTCCAGGGGCAAGTTTTTTTCCCCCCTTCCAGTATGTTTTTCTTCCCTAAAGAGAAAAGAACGATGACAGAATTTTGGAAAGTGAGGGGAAGAAAACCTCTGTATCTACTCAAAAGAATATACTTTCCTTGGGTCACTCGAAAAGGCAGGTGTGGCATCCTGGCTGATCTCTGTGGAGCAGCCAGCTGCGTGGAGGGCAGGCGTCCTGTGCCTGCTCACTGACCGCCTCATCGAACTTCAGTGGGTCTTGATATACTTTAGGTAGGGACTGAAAGGTAGTGAATTTGCCCAAAAGTTAGGGAGGTGAACAGAGACAAATACGAACTGCCCTGTTGTCAAACCGAAGCCGGCACCGTGCGGGAGGCCCTGAGCGAGCTTTCTTCTGGGAGCGAGCAAAGATTAAAATGAAAACCCCAGGCAAGCTGTCGAAACTGAAGGGCCTTTCAGGCTGAATGCTCTGTTTCCTGGCTCTTTTTCTTAGACAAACATAATTGAAGTCCCCACTTTGCTCCCCAAACTTTTCTTTCAGGATAAAGTAGAATAAAGCATAAGCAAGGCTCAGTGCTATTTATACACACTGAACGGCTTATCACAATGCAAGTACTTTTCTAAATTATTCATACCCGGAATGCTGAGAAACAAAGACACAGTGCATCTTTGTTCTTTGCTCTTCCCCAAACAAAACTGGTGCTGAAGTAGCTACTTGACTTTGTGACTAATACATACACTAGTGAGAGGCCTGGTGTTTCAACTTGTTATATAATACTTCATTAATTTTTTTTTTTTTTAAAGTAGAGGGGTGAAGGTGGGAGAGGAGAGAACACAGAGGAATAAGGAAGGCGGCTTTGCAAACCTTTCTCTGAAGTGTGTGAAAGATGAACTAAGCTGGTGCGTGCTTTCGGCAATGACTTGCTAGAAGCATAAAGGTATTTGTCCCTGGAGAGAAAGAAGGAAGGAAGTCTGGCTATGAGCTTCCCTCTGTCTTGGATCTAACAGGTCCCTTGCCCCGTAGGGCTATATTCTGCCTGTCCTACTATTTTTTTAAAACACAAACAGTAAGTACTAATATATGGGAGACACTGTTAAACACTTGTACATTAATTACTATTATTTCATTTAATCGTCACAATGATCTTGAGAGGAAGGCATCAACCTATTTTTTTACAGATAAGAAGCTGAGCCCCAGACAACTGTTCTATAACTTGACTATGAGTTGAAGTGCTGGAAAGTAAATATACATTTGTATTTAAGTCTCAGCTCAAAAGTCCAAACTATTAGACCCCGTAACACAGACCTGATGGGAGGAAACCCAAAGAATGACGTGTCAAGAAAGAGGGGAAGTTCCAGTGGGGGAGCTGGGTGCTCTGGTTCAAGAACATCTACATCACCTCAAGGAGCAGCTCAGGCCCTCCCTTCACCAAGCCATCCCCACCAACTAAAGAAAAAAGGAGATACTAGATTTTCTTTGATTTAAAAAATACTATTTCTGGGATGCCTGGGTGGCTCAGTTGGTTTAGCATCTGCCTTTGGCTTAGGTCATGATCTCAGGGTCCTGGGATCGAGCCCCACGTCGGGCTTCCTGCTCAGCGGGGAGTCTGCTTCTCCCTCTGCCTCTCCTCCCGCTCATGCTTTCTCACTCACTCTCTCTCTCAGATAAATAAAATCTTTAAAAAAAAGAATCAAATATTATTTCTAATGTACCAGGGGAGGTGGGCTGTTGCAATAAGAAAAAATAGAGTCATTGGAACATACCTTCCTATACAGTGAGTGATTTGAAAACTGTTACTTCTTCATCCCCATCCTGATGCAAACCTGCTGGAGTATTTCACTATGGATTTAAATGAAAGCCATTTAAATTAGACCTGTAAGGCCATCTTATTCTGAAATGGTAGGAGCTTCTCAATAAAACAAAGTCAGTCCAGGAGAAACAGTAACTGGCTTCTTAATTACTGTTTTATAATAAGTTCCCTATTTTGGCAAGGAAATAGAAAAAATAAAATTAAGTAAGAAAGGATTTTCTAATTGCAAAGAGAGTTGATCCGCCAGGAGATAAGCCACCCAACACCACCAGCCTTGTGTGGTGGGGGAACACAAAGACCACTTCTCAAGTGAAGGCCACAAACGACAGACAAGGCCTGTGCATACTAGTCTTCCTTCTCCGACCGGAAAGCAGGACCAAAAATGTGCCACAGGAAAGATCTGAAGGGGCACGCCTATGAGAACCCTATAGACCGTGTTTCTAGAATTAAGTAGGAATTCTTAAGCTTTAAATACCATACATACCACTGGTCATGTGAGATACTTTTGCAAGTTTCTTCATCACATTGTCTAGCCGAGACTGAGTGCTCTCCAACTCATGAGAAAAATCATCCAACATACTAGAAAGAGAAGCAGACACAGAAGGGTAGCTGGTCAGCACAAAGGCTTGGCAATACACTGGCCACGGAATTAAAACAGGATCTACACCTCCGTTTTAGCAAACCTAAAGCCCGTAACTTTGCGATTCAAGTCCCCAGTCTGCTATCCAAATCGTTAGCACAAGATAGGTTTTTGATTTCAGAATTTCGGGGAATTTTAAAAAAGTACCAAGTTACATGTGCTATATGTTAGCCAACATCCTCAAGCAGGGTCCGGGGCAGACCTCATAGTCAAACATGGTACTATTTCTGCAGAGAAAACGATGAGGAATCATTGCTGCAGTCAGGTCAGGTCAGGTTTTTTGTAGTAGGAACTTGCTGGAAACTTTTTTTAAAAGATTATTTTAGCACTTTCTAGACTTTAGAATTGTAGACCTGACTATATAGTAACACAAACTCAGGGGCAGTGCAGCACACGAGGAGGAGGCTAAGCAAAGCCCGACAACCAGGCTTTGCCACTTGTTTCCCTTGTCACCTTGACAAGGCACCCCACTTTGGCACTGTTTCCACGTCTGTAAAACGGGGTAGCTTCCCTGCCAGGGTCTTGTGAGCACCAGGTCATAACACAAAGCGCTTTATGGCCAATAGGAGTTAAACACGCCTTAATCGCATAATCATCTCCTTTAACGCGCTCTGTGCTTTGTCATAGAGCTGGGAGGCCCTGGGACTGACACTCCTGACCGTGTGCACTCCCACCCACAGAGAACTCAGTGTTTGCCCGCTAAGAGAAGTGGCTCCAGGAAGTGAATAGTATTTGCTGTCCACGCTGCAGCTGGGAAAGAAAACACCAAAATGCTCTTATTCCAGCACTGTTTATTTCATAAATGACTAACCATTCCAGACTTTTCAACTTGGGGTTAACATATGATTATCCCGAGAGTGGAACCTAACATACAGCATCAATGGAAGCTAGAAACCACTGGGCTTGGTCTGTGCCCCCATGAGGCACCTGACTGCCTGCAGGACTCCGGGCAACCAACTCCTTATTAAGTCAATTATTAAATAAACTCCATGTTGACAACTAAATAAACAGATCTTTGTCCCTTACCTGAAATTCCAAATTAACACACTATTAGCTCATCTAAGATCCTGCTAGCATCTCGGCCTGTAGCTGCAGACCTATCCAGGCAGGGCCAAATACTGAAAAACAAGAGCCACCTTTGTATGCTGGGCATGACTTTTCCTACTGAGGACAGAAAGGCTAGGCACCCAACCTCCAGCCCAAGGACACCCACTAAACTAGGTTTCTAGCCCAGATCTATCTGACTCGGCGCTGTCCAAAAGAAACAGACTGCGAGTCCGATACGCTACTTAATATTTGCTAGTAACCACATTTAAAACAAAAAGATGAAATTAATTTTAATAATCTGTTTTATTTGGCCTAATATATCCCAAATATTATCATTCCAACATGTAACTAATATTAAAAAAAAATCACTCACAAGCTACTTTACATTTTTTTTTCATAGGAAGTCTTCAAAATCTGGTGTGCATTTATGCCGAGGGCGCATCTCTGTGCAGACTGGCCACATTTTATGTATTCACTGGCCACAGCTGCCAGTGGCCACCAATGCTGGAGAACACAGGCCAAAGTCCAAGCCCCAGGTGCTTTCCTTTTAATTTACTTATTATTTTTACCAAAGTGAGACACAGTTTAAAGAGCTAAATAGCACGTTCAGGCTCTTTATAAAAAACCACGGCTGTTTCCTGTCCCCTTGGACAAGTGCTGCCAACCCCTCCCACTAGTCCCTGGGTGCTTTTCCGTGTGTTCAAGGAGCATGCTCACACCAGAATCCTGTCCTACTGACTCGACTCTAAAAAGGCTAGGGCTTAGCTCTGCTCCCACCTCCTTCCCCATCCCGGCATCCATCCCACTACTCATCCCCCTTCCTTCCACTATGACTGTGTCACAACGTGATGAGCGCGCCCTTCAGGGCTCACACTATCACGAGTGAATGCTCTCCCCTGCTGGTGGCTCGCGGCGGGAACTGTGTTTGCTCCGTGGCGCCCCCTGCGGCTGGCGGAGGATTCAGCTTTCTCTGGTCTGTTGAGTCAGTAGCCATTCATTTTCCTACTTTCTAGGACCTATAATGTTATGGTTACTGTTTCTTATTTCATGTTCTATGTCCCCATAGGTCTTATGGTATACAAAGTTTTATAAAAAGATCCCTCTGCTGGTGCCCTAGTGGGCTCTAGGGAAGGAGTGACATAAAGGGTATGTTTGGTGTGTTCAAGTTACCATCTTTAACTGAAGTCTGCCAGGCTTCTCTATCATCTACTGAACCCCAAGGAGTCAGGCAATTAGTCCTTTTCCATCCGCAAATTGAAATTTTAGGGGAAGAATGCATTTTAGACAGAAATTCAACACGCATGCCTAGATTCCTGCTCTTTCACTTTCAGCTTCCCCCTGGTCTCCTTGCCTTCAATCTGACTCCATTATTGTTTGTCATCTAAACCACAGCTAGATGGGTCTGCCCCAAATGTAAACCTGTCCATGGCATTACTCCCGACACAATCTTCATGGTTCCCCATCACCCTCAGGAGAGAAAGTCCTAACCCCTTAATGGGGCGTCAAAGGCCTCCCCGCTCTGTTCTTGGCCTCCGTCTTGACTTCTGCAACCCCCCCTCTCTACCCCCATGCTCTACACAAACCAGACCTTTCTGTCCCATGCACTCTCTCACACTCTCTCTAACCCCCAGTCGACCCTCCCCTCACCCTCACCCCTCTGCCGGGCCACCTTCCACGCATCCTTCAGGTTCCAGTTCCACACATCTTCTCAGGGACCTGGGCTAAGTCAGGTCTGCAGCTTGAGTGGAGCGAGGGCTCTCGAGGCACCACACTCTTCCCCCTTATGTCTCTGCACCTCTTAGTGACTTGCACCATTTGTAGAACGTCTGTTCTAGGCAGTAACTGGTAAACTCTCTGACGGCAGAGATGCAGTCTGTTTGCTCCTCTATGGGTACCTGGGACCTCCCAGCAGAACAGATACCCAGTTTGAATTTCTGAAGAATGAATGTATAAGGCTGAACTCAAGACTGAGATAGGAGAGGTTCTGAAATATCCTAGTGGATGGTCTTATTTTTTCAGAAAGAAATTTGTGAAATGAAAGCATTTAAGAATGATGCTTTTGGTGTCCTACTTCTGAGCACAAAAGGAGACTGTGCTGAAGGAAAAAATAAACAAACCCAGTTATGTTTTCGTTTGCTTTGTTTTTACTTTGTATTTCTGAGAGGGAAGATTTTTGATTAATTGAAGTCAGATTTATAAACTTTTCTTCATTAAGTTAAAGTTTAAGATGCAAAGCAAGAAGTTCTGTTTGATGGAGCAGGAGAGTCAGGGGATGAGAGAGGGAAGTCAGCTCATGTCCTATCCTCTCCGGGACCCAGATCCCCAGGGAGGTTACACAGCCATGTCTGTCTCATGTTCCCATTCATCACAACACTCTGAGCATCCGCTCGGAGGAATCTGTATCTGTTTTTGCAGGGTGCAAAAATAATCATGATAATAACTTTGCCCAAACCCTGTTCAAATTTTATCTGATCAATGTGCTTCTTTGGGGGAGGCAGAATAAAGATGCAGCTATAGAAGTAAAACGGCTTTTGGGTTTACTAGCCATGTAACTGTCAGGCTTTTCAGGGGTCTCATAAGATGGCTCTGCCCCTCAATTTCACTGCAGCGAGAGGGGCGTGTCAGTACTCACACCGCCTGTTCCTCTAGCTCCCCTCCGATGCGCTGGGACATGTTCTTCAGCACCCCGATGCTGCCAGAGACCAGCTCCAACTGCTCATCCTGCTGCTCCACGATCAACTGGTGCCAGAGAAATGGGAAAGAAGCAATTAAACTCCATCTTACCTGGTTCCAAGCCCAGTACTCTAGCAGCTGCTAGCTTCTTTGCCAACTTGGGACCATTCTCATTCAGAAGCAAAGCCCAGAAATCGAAGGACCAGACCATCGCCTCTGAGAACACACTGCTCAAAAGGCTGGGATGACAAGCTACTGATACTTCCTGCCGATCCAACTTGTGAACAGTCAGCAGGCCTGGAAACCACCAAGAGTGATTTACTCTGGTTGGCTCAAGTCCAGCGAGGGAACAAGCCAGGGTCAAAAGCACCTGTGTGGTGACCACTGAGACATGGGATGTTGGGGAAGAGGAAGCCCACCGCCAGGGTCAAGGTCTCAATCCACAAAAGACTGCCTCGGCCTGACTCCAAGAGAGAGGCCGGCAAATCTGTGAATGTGGGAAAACTGCACAGAGTCCTTTCCTTCCTCTCAAGGACAAACTAGAGGAGGCCCTGTGGCTGTAAGCTGCTTCAAGGACAGCTACTGAGTGATAAATAATTACTTTTAATTGTGGTGTAGCCTCCTCATTTTTTATTAAGAAAAAAACTTGCTTGATTAATAGCAATTTAAGTAGACAACTGGTTAAACAGACAGGCTAATGAAAAAGAACAAACCTACGTGTATACGTAAAACATAATATTTAAGAACCAATAGTTTCAATGGATAGATAATCCTCAAATCCCCAGATACATTATTAGCTTCCTTTTTAAAATACAACACATATCAAAAGCCACGATGTAATCATAATCAACCTCACTTTCCTTCTACCCTAGAACCTCCACCAAAGCAATCATTTTTACATATAATGGAACCAGCAATAATTTGCAAAGAAGAAACAAGGACTCAGTTTTTCTGAAAGTGCCTTTGTTGAGATGAACAAAAAACTGAGCATACAAGTGGAGGCGGGGGAAGAGGCTGCTGGGGTGTTTTTTTTTTTTTGTAAATCAATGGCCTTGTCTGTCAGTTTTGGATGTCTGGTCTGCTTTTCCTAAGAGACCTAATCAAGCTTGGTTCTCCCGAAAAGGTCGTGCTCTGAAGGAGGTTTTAAAAACCCCTCATCTACACAATGGTTGCACACACAGACAGGCAGCCGCGGGGTGAGCTCTGGTCCCCCGGGGCTGTCACTGGTCACAGCGCCCCCTGGCGGCAGAGGAACGCAAGGAGGTGCCCTGCCTCCCTCCCTCGGTGGCTTCTCCGGTACCTGTTGCTGAGCCTGCTGCTCCTCGATGAAATGGGAGTTGGCCAGCTGGAGCTCGCGGTCCAGGCGCCCGGATTTGTCCATCGTTCCCGCGCTCCAGTTCTGGCCGCCACTGTCCCCTAGGAGTGCCTGCGAGAGCGGGGCGGGGGGAACCAGCCGTTACCATCTGAGCAAATGCTCCAGCACAGGGACAGAGAGTCCACAGACTGCTCGCAGTGCATTTCCCGCCGGCTCAGCCTTTTGCGTAGCGGTGTAGGTTGGTGCCCATGTGGCACAATTTCAGGAATGCCAGGAAGGGCACCCACTGCCTCCAAGCTCTCCCAACGGGACTCAGAAATGGGCTCTGTCCCATTAAAATACAGATAAAGGTCAACTTTAAATCAACAAATGCCCATCTGTACACTGCTTTACAATCTAGAAGCACTTGGTCTTCAGGCCAGCTCTTCCTAGCACCCTCGGAAGTTCATCAGAGACCCATAGGCTCCAATCTGATTCCACAGACCTAGGGTCCCTTTTTTTTCAAGTATGAGCCAAGAAAGTTTCTGGGTTTCTTCGGAAGGAGGCGGGGAGAGCTCCCTGGAATGACAACGAGCCAAGTCACAGCCCTTCATGTACAGAAGGCACCAGACCCACCAAAGTCTGTTCAACTGAACCCATGAGTAAATCCCAGTGCCCTTCGGTTGAACTAAAAGGCTACGGGCGTCCCAAATAGGAACCGGGGGTTGCTTCCGAGGCAGGCATGGTCACAAGTGAGCGCCTGACCCTCATAACCCAGGCAAGTGCTGGTCCCGAAGTCAGAGCTCTTCCCCAGGGTCAGGTTTCCCAATATGAATTCAAGGAAGTTTGCAGCCAGAACAGGATAAGTCTGGAAAAAGGATAAGTCTCCCTTCCGTGAAGAGGCCGGCCAGGAATGTGAGAGCTCATTCTCGGTAGTGGGCTCTGACTGGGAGCCCCACGAGCCCATCTGACTAGTTGGTCAGAGTTACCGCTCACACCAGCCCTGCACAAAGAACCAGAAGATGCTGCTGACTAAGATTCTTCTTCCTTGTGGAAGTGCCAGATCTTACTAGGTACTTTTTGTCTCCAGAACGGTTAAAAGCCTCATGGGTTACTTGGTTTTCTGTCTGCAAAACCCTTCAATAGCCCCTTGATACTGACATGGACCTCCTGGCCTGACGTTCGAAGGTGACTTCAGTCCAATGGCCACACTTCAGGGACAGGGCTCGGAGAAGCTCAGGATGCAGAGCCTAAGTTCTGAGGGAGTTAGGAGAGCTGCTGGCAGCCCGGGGCCTCAGTCCAGCCAAGAAGCCGGATGGGGACTGTCTTCGGCATAAAGCAGACCCAAGGCCTTCTGTAGATGGCTCTGCCTAACCTGATCTTAGGGCTGTCAAGTTTAGAAGATCCTGCTCATTCCGAGGCAGAGACTCTAAGAATCTCTATGGAGGACACTGAGGCCTAGTGACAATGTTTTCAAGGTCAGAAAGAGTCTATATAGAGTACATCATTAGGCTACCGACAGAGAAGTGGGGGCTCCACCAGCCTTGTGCACTCCTGGGATCATAGTCGGGGCTATTTTTTCTAGTCTATTCATGGTCTGCACTTAGGTGGACATATGTCACGCCGTTAAGAGTTGTCTATGCTTCATTGTGAAGCAGATTAGATGTCATTAGTCTGACTTCCAGGAATCTATCTGCACGGGAACGAAGATGGAGAGGGCCCAGAGCATGGGAAGACCAGCCTGGGCGCAGGTGCTGGAGCGGGGAGGTCCTGGCTGAGCAGGCTGGAGCACAGCACCTGGTCCTGGCACGAAGCAGTGAGGCAGACTGGGCCTGCTCGAGTCTGAGAGAAAACTGGTCCTGCCATTCCCTGAGAATTTGTGACTCTATGACATTTCACTCCATGCCAAAAACAAAATCCCAAGCCATACTTGGAGAGGCAATGTGTAAGTACACGTTTTATTTATGGTGGTTCAACTTTTACTCTCTAGAGAATAAAGCAATTCAAGTTTGGCAGAACAGAGGCCCAGTGTTCCCCATCTCACTGTCACAACTGCTTCGGGTACCGTTCCTCAACTTCTGTGAGTTCAAGTGTGGACAAAAAGGGAACTCTCAAGCTGCGAGCCTTGGCCATGCCCTAGAGCTCCTTTCAAGAGTTAGTGCCAGATGGGCTGGGTTAGCGCCTGGCGGTTCCCCGCTGCACTATTAAGAGGAAGGGAGGGAGACAGGAAGAAAAAGCCACAACAGTGACTTGAAGAACTAAATGCAGGGAAAGGCAACAGGAAAATTAGGCAGGTGATACCTGGAGAGCCCCTCCCTTTCTTTGAACTCTTGTTTTCAAATGTCATGGGTCAACAAATACCCACAGGTCTAAAGTAAGGATGTACCGATTCCTAGTTAATAATGATGAGCTGTTTCTTACCAGTCTACTAAATGGACTATCAGTAACTTGATGGAGTCTGAACAGAATTGAAGTTAAATCTAAATTTTAGGTGACTGTTGTAAATTTTTTAAAAGGATTTTATCAGTCAGAAGGGAATTTCTATCCAAAGTGTCTAATTTTAAAAAGATACTTAAGTCTGGGTGGCTCACTCCGTTGAGCACCTGACTCTTGGTTTTGGCTCAGGTCATGATCTCAGGTTGTGAGATGGAGCCCTGCTCAGCAGGGAGTCTGCTTAAGATTCTCTCCCTCTACGCCTCCCCCTACTTGCACATACATGTGCTCGCTCTCTCTTTCTCCAATAAATAAATAAATCTTTAAAAAAAAAAAAAAAAAGACACAGGGCACCTGGGTGGCTCAGTTGGTTAAGCCGCTGCCTTCGGCTCAGGTCATGATCTCAGGGTCCTGGGATTGAGCCTCATGTCAGGCTCCCTACTCAGCAGGGTATCTGCTTCTCCCTTTCCCTCTGCCCCTCCCCCTGCTCATGCTCTCTCTCTCTCTTAAATAAATAAAATCTTTTAAAAAAATTTAAAAATTGGGCACCTGGGTGGCTCAGTCATTAAGCGTCTGCCTTCAGCTCAGGTCATGATCCCAGGGTCCTGGGATCGAGCCCCGCATCGGGCTCCCTGCTCTGCAGGAAGCCTGCTTCTCCCTCTCCCACTCCCTCTGCTGTGTTCCCTCTCTCACTGTGTCTCTCTCTGTCAAATAAATAAATAAAATCTTAAAAAAAATAAAAAATAAGAAAATTTAAAAATTTAAAAATTAAAAAAAAAAGATACTTAAATTCAAGGACTGGTCTCCTGTAGGTTTTATTTTTGATATGTCATTATCTGCACTGGCGTTTTTGAAATCAGGTTTCATAATTTATCTGTAATAACTAATAAAAACTGGACCTCATATCAAAAAAATACTTAAAATGATGAAAGATTTAATTTAACACACATTTAAGGTTCCTCCAATGTCTTTACATAAAATTTCACTCATTAGATGTCTAGTAAGTTCTATGGGCAATAGAATAGCAGCTAGAGATTTAAAAACAGCTCATGACATAATTGCTCTTCACTTTCAAGGAGCTTGGGGTCCAGCAGAGAAAGCAGAGAAAAAGAAAGACAGGAGACAAAGCAATCACAGCACTTCCCAGAGCACGTGGGCAGCACGGGCAGAGTGAATGGCTGTGTGAAAGGCCTACAGGGATAAGCAGAGGGAGCTACAGGGGCCCAGAGGAGAGAAGCAGAGGGTGTGAGGGAGGGAGGGACAGAGGACCGTGGCACTGGGGCAAGCTGACCAGACTTTCACAACACCTGCCAGCCTCACACCAGGCTCAGCATGTACAAGTCTTCTGCGTGAACACACGATACACAGACGTCAGCAGTTTTTAATTCCAAATATCTAACCATGCTATTTGATTGATATTTGATTGATATTGTGTTCAGATGTTTACTCACCTGTCTATTTTTTCGTTCTGCTAATGCCTGCACAGATGAAGCTGACATCTGATCCTTCATGTCCTAATGAGATGAGTAGAAGACCGGAAAATGAATGAAAACAAAATCACGGCTAACATTTCACAGGCTAACAAAATACACACAGATTATTATGAATTTTTTTAAACAAAAAGACAGCATTCTTTAGCTTGTAAGTCTCAAAAACAAAGGAAATAAAATAGACTCATATTCCCTCAAAAGGGAGTAACCTGGACACTGAATTCAAACAGGAAGAAAGAGGAAAGGAACTCGTATTTCCTGGGTACCTACCAGAGGCCGCAACACCGTGGTACACTTACACAAGATACCACGGAATTTGCACAACGACCCTGTGAAGCTGCTATTATTTCCATTTTGCAGGTAAGAAGACTGAGATTTAAAAAGGCTAAGATACTTTCTTAAGGTCACACAGTCAGTAAATGGCAATCCTGCGGCGCAAACACAGAAGTCCGTGCTCAAGGGCTAGCATCTTCAAACAGAATGCATGTGAAAAACCACACACTTTAGGATCAAGTCTGTTTACCACTAAATACCAGAGAACACTTTCTAGTATTCTTATTTTATTTATTTTATTTCTGAGTTGGATTCATGTGTAGAATAGACTCCCTTCCCTCCTTCCCTTTCTTCCTTCCTTCCTCCCATAATCTCTACACCCAAAGTGGAGCTCAAACTTGCAACCCCAAGATCAAAAGTCACATGCTCTACCGACTGAGCCAGCCAGGCGCCCCCAGTATAGACTATTTCTAACACAAGAATGAATTTCTAGAGCAATATCAAAAATAATTTTGTATGGAAAGAAAAATGAATGGACCCATTACTTAACCCAAAGCAAAACACTATTAAATATGAACGCTTTTTCTTATATTTAACCACAACCCAATATACTTTAAAATGATTTGAACTGAATACATAATTACTGTAATACAAATTATCTTTGGGGGGAAAAAAAAGGCTGCCACAATACATTACAATTTTCTGTCGGCAAGTAGGCTATTTTATAGATGCAAACTTTGAGGTATTAGGCTCTTAGAAACTTCTTCCAAGACCCGTGACAGGTGAACAGCAGATCGGACAGTGCCACAGTTTTTGTCATTCCTACTGTGGTGAGTCTTAGTAATAACCACCTTGTGTAATAACCAACTTTCCAAGTGCCCATTTTACGTTTGGCAAATGCTCCCTAAAGCCTAAAACGTGCCCACACAGAGCAGTGAGCAATACAGGCAAGGCCCCTGCCCGCGTGGAGAGGGTACCATGGTGAGGAAGGGGCAAACAGTAATCCCACAGACACGTCAATAAGCTGATGACTGTGTTGGGAAGGAAGGGAACAAACAGGGCTGGGATTGAGTGGGTGAAGGACACCACTTTAGAAGGATGGGGGTAACACTGGAATTGAGATCGGAAGGGCAAGAATGAGCCAACCACAGAAAGAGCCAGAGGCTGAGAATTCCAGGCAAAGGGAACAGCAAGTACAAAAGCCTGGAGGCAGGAAAAAGCTCAGTGCCTTTAGCTGTGGAGAAGGCAGGCCAGGGAGGCTGGAGGAGCCAACTGTGTGTTCAGGGGTGGGGGAAAGAAGAGAAGGCTGGCCAAAAACACGGGGCTTAGATTTTATCCTGAGGCAGGGGTTGGCAAACTCTGTTTGATAAGGAGTAGATATTAAGTATTCAGTCCCTGTCATATACTCTTTGTTGTGTGTGTGTTTTCTAATTATCCTTTAAAAAAATGTAAAACTGTTCTTATATAGCTCGCAGGCCCCTGTGCAAAGGCAATGGGAAGGCCTTAAGGTATTTTAAGCAGGGCCATGGAGTATTCTGGTTCATGTTTTAGAAGCTCACTTTGGTTTTTCTGCAGAAAAAAATGTTAAGCAGAGCAAAAGTAAAGAGATCATTTTACTATAACCTGTCACAAAGTACCAGGGCTGCCCCAGATAAGAAATGGCGCATCCAGAAGGAGCAAGCTCCCTGCTGTTGGGGGCCTTTAACAAGAGGATACATGAGCCCTTGGAAATGACACTGGGTAGGCAGCGCATCTGAGGGGTACTCCGTCTAGGGTCCAGCTGACCCAGAAATTCTAGGATTCTCTACCTATTTCATCCATTCGCAAACCTCAAAGACAAAAAAAAAAAAAAAAAGGCCACCCATAGAAACTGAGAAAAATATACTTAGTAAAAGAAAGTATTTGCCACAAAATACAAAGGGAATTCAGTGATATAAGTCATATTTCTTAAATGTGTGAGATTTGCTTGAGTCAGTCACCTGAGGTGAAATGCAGGTCCCTTGGGCACCTGGTGGCTCAGCTGGTTAAGTGTCTGACTCTTGGTTTCGGCTCAGGTCATGATTTCAGGGTCGTGAGACTGAGCTCCTGAGGGCTCCGCGCTCAGCGTGGAGTCCGCTTGAGATTCTCTCGTTCCCGCTCCCTCTGCCCGCCCCTGCCTGCATCTGCACTCTCTCTCAAAATAAATAAAATCTTAAAAAAAAAAAAAAGAAAAAGAAAAAATGCAGGTCCCTGGACCCCACCCAGACCTACTCAGGCAGACTCTAAGGTACAGCTAACAAGTCCCTGGGTGAGTTTTATGAATACTGAAGTCTGAGCTGCTCTTTTTTAGATTCTAGAAGCCTTAAAGTGAGCCTGTTACCAATTACCAATTAGAATTTAAGATGACATTTGGATATTCAATCAAACAATAATAATAGTACAATCCTATATATATTATTAACTATGCAGAGAAATATCTGAAATGTTCATTGGTATGGATAATATATGCTTTAAAAATGTATTTAATACGGGCGCCTGGGTGGCTCAGTCGTTAAGCGGCTGCCTTCGGCTCAGGTCATGATCCCAGGGTCCTGGGATCGAGTCCCACATCAGGCTCCCTGCTCA